TTAATATTACATTCAGGCCCATACTGAGTTTATGTGAGCTTCTGACCAGAACTGTAGCAATGTTGCAGCCAAGAAAGAAGGTGCTGAATTCTAAACCTTGGTTTGGACCTCTCTGTGGGCAGTTTGCTTACATGAATTTTTTCTTGTACTCCAGTTTCTTCCAACAGTCCAAAAACAGACATTTTAGGACATTTGGCCACACTAACTTGCCCTCGTGTGTGAGTGCATATGTGTGCATTCTTGTCTGTTTTGTGCGTTTTTGTGTTGGCCCTGTGATGAACTGTTGACCTGCCCAGGGTGTACGACACTTAACTCCGAGACTACTGGGGAAGGATCCAAGTTCCTAGTGACCGTAAACAGGATTGAGAGGCTATAGAAAAAGTAGAAGAAAACACAACAAAAGTGAAAAACAGGAAAACATAGCTTTGAAAAATATTATAGAGAGCAATCTAAAAAAAAACACAAAAAGAAACAATTAATTAGAGCTATTTCACAACAAAAAGAAAACCCGGATCTATTAAAGTATACAGTTCAGGCAGAAAGTTGCCACTGTGATCACCAGCATCTTACAAGTGACCAACCAGCCATAACATTAAAACCACATGCTCTGTGTCAGCTGGGTCCTCACATTCCCATCATTATGTTCCTGACCCTTCGGACGCTAGGGATCTCTTTCAATAAAGTTCTTTGGCATCAGGCTCCGGATTGTTGACATTTCAGTTGAAAACAGCTAGGATATGTTGAGTCCCGTTATTCTAGCACATCATATACCTGACAAATCAGGAATGATTTGCTCTGTCTGTTGTGTTCCCCAGCTTTTCTTGAACAGTTTTTGTAACAGTTGAAAAGTTTGTACTTGGACTGAACATTGTTGAGAAGTGTTGTACGCATCAAAGTGACACTACATGAAGATAAGGAGCTTAACATTAATATTGATCAAATGATCATCATCAGTGGTTGCCTTTGCTTATTACTGGTTTTACTCATTCAGCTGATTATAGAATATATGTTAAATGATGCAAAGAGGTCCTAGGTTCGTATCCCGGCATGGGGTCTTTCTGCATGGAGTTTGCTTGTTCTCCTCATGCATGCATGGGTTCTGTCCAGGTATTCCTGCTTCTTCCCACAGTCTATAAACATGACTGTTTACGCTAATTGGTCTCACTAAATTACTCTCAGCTCTGAGTGCACGCATGGTTGTCTTACCTGTGTGTCTCTGTGTTTCCCTGTGACGGACTGGCGACCTATCCAAGGTGTACCCCACCTCTCACTCAATGAAAGCTGGTGCCTGGCACCAACCCCTCCATGGTCCTCCAAGGATGAGCAGGTACAGACAATGGATGGATGAATAATGCAAGAGCATATTATATGGTTGTAGCTGATCTGACCGAAGCTTCTCTAAGTCAGAAGCCATGGTTCCCAACCAGAAAAGGTGGATTGCTCCCTTTAGGTTGAGGGTTAGTTTCTGCTTCAAGTAGAGAAGTTCAAGTATCTTGTGCCCCTTTTCCATAGACACTACTTAGGCCAACTCCACTCCAATTAGTCCATTTTACGAGCATTTTCATCACGGGTTTTTCCAGCCCAGTACCTGCTTTCTTGGGCCCTGTTCAGGAGCAGGTATGACCGGGGCCCAGTAGGGACTACGTTTTGGTTGTACTGAAAAAAAGGCAGAGCTACAAAGCAAAGTTCAGAATTAACCTGGCCGGTCTGCTCTAACCTTCACCTATGGTCATGAGATGAGAATGAACAAGAACCATGGACATAAGGGAGGGAGCTGGACTCAGCCTTAGAGATACGCTGATGAGCTCTTTGAATTTGCTGCTAAAACTTAACATGACTATGGACTAACAAAACACAAAACTGAGGGTTAATAGTGCTATTAACAAACAGGCTGATATAAGCATGCTACGCTGGAGTAGTAATTCTTGTTGACAATCTGAATGGTAAACATTGTATTTTACAATAAACAACAGGTTATTAAATGAAAGTTACCTTTATCTGAAAATTTAGGTTACTTAATGTGACATATTTGGTTTGTGAATTATGGCTTTATTCTAAACAATCACGTCAAAATTCCTTGCTAAACCTTAGTGAAGTCATTGTTGGCACATTGATTTATTTAAAATATTGTCTCATGAAGCCATTCTTATGAAGATGTACAGCTTTAAGTGCAAACAGTAAAATGTCTCGAGTGCATTTTAAATCTAAGACCTCATATCTTGCTTTTAGTGTTTTCTTTGCTAAGTTTATATCATGTTTATAACATATCATCTGTTTCTCAAGACAATGAACACGTCAACTTTATGGCTTCGAAACGCTGCACAAAGCCTTAAAACTGTGATCCCATTAAGAGGTAAAATCTGGAACTGCTCAGCAGATGAAAGTTTGACTTTGTGAGCCCTCTGAGTATTTATTTCTTTTTATACCTCGACAAGCTTAAGTCTGTATTACTGGTAGTTATGGACCAGAAAATGGAATTCCCAGAAAAGTGACCCGAGGCGCTGTCACACCGCAGGAAATCTTACAAGTCATTTAATCTGTTTAAGACCCTTAACTTATTGTTTTTCTTTAAAAAGAAGGGTGAACATGGTTGCCAGTGGGGAAAACATATTTGACATAGAAAAAGATGTTTTATTTTTAAAGAGAAGGTACAGTACTTAAGTCTGCCAAAGTTGTCAGCATTGTTTTACACAGTTTTTTAGTATTATTTTTACAAAACATTTGCAATAATGAGATAACCTTTTCTACATTTTAAAAGATTTTAAATTTCCTTGAAAACATATTCACCTCTTTGCTTGCACGTTTTTAAAAAAGTTTAACCTCTTTATGGTGTAGGTCCAGTTTGACATCTCCATGACATTTGTCTAAGACTGTCTAGACCATAGTAATAACACATATAAATTCTTATAGTGAGTGGCATTCCCATTTGATGTAAAATGATCTGCTGTGTGCCTGCCAGGTCTGAGCGAACAAGATCACTGACACCATTTCTGTTTTACAATTTATTCGACGGAGGCACTGAGTTTCATTGTTCTTTATCCTTGTGCTTTTGTCTCTGCAAACGCTGAGTGATTACTGAGCAAATATAAAACTGTTTGGAAGATTTAGTCCTTTAAGAGTTAATTATGTTAATGTGTGAACAATCTGATTTTCCTACAAACATGCCATGAGCTGAGTCACAGCTGTCATGATTAAACTGTAATGGTCCAGATGCACTGAAAAAAATATGCTCCACAGATGTCAACTCCATGTTCATAGATGTGTTATGAATGTGTCAAACGTCTAGTAAATGTGAGCATTTACCATGACTTTTAAATTAAAAGGAACTTGAAACAAAGTGAAATCTGGTTTCTGTGCCATTTGGCAGAACTTGGTTATTGGACTCAGATGTATGAAAGTTATAGAGGGCAGCAGCTGTTAGCTTAAAGACAGAAACAGGGATGGACAGCTAAACCTGGCCTGGTGACACCAACAAAATCTGATTACCTGCATACCAGCACCTCAATAAGGTTCAGAGTCATTTTTTATATCTTGTTAATTTATATTGTATGTATGGTGACAGAGACAAAACAATTGTTGAGGTCATTTTACCTCCCACTAAATCAATTCACAGGTAATGCGAAGCTACGCTGAGGTAAAACAAGACATGCTAAACTAATGCTAAGCAGAGGTTCTTAAACTCTTTCACTGAGAGCGACTCTTCTTGCAACAACAAAAATTATGCACATCCTGACCACAGTATCGCTCACATGCATGCAGAATTGCACACACTCGTACATGCACATTCATGTTTGCTCAAATATACCCACAAATGCCAAAATAATCCCAAATTAACTCTTTTTCTTTTTTTTAATAAAACTATCTGTTTTAACAAAAACACACTTGGACAAATTAATGTGTAAAAGCAGCATATGATAGAATTAAAGTTTGTTTGACCCTTTTGCAAGTTATGGTGTTTCATTAGTTTATTATTTGCAAAACATGTTGATGGTCTCTTTGGTTTTAAGCCAAGCTTTAATTGGATTTATTTGTCTCCTGTTATCCTAATTTTTGTCAGCATAGACTTTTTTTTATTAAATAATCACTGTTTAACTGTCCTCTGCATGATTTGCAGCCTATTACTTCTGTGTTTGGATCAAAGCACAGCATTAAACTTTAAACATACTGTAATTTGTAGCTGGCAGACATAATAGGACTGAAAAACACATGTCTAGAACCATTCTGTTGAAGAAACCTACAGTGACATTGATAAAAACAAACAGAAGAGCTGCTAAAACAAGCCCTTAATTTATATTGCCCTAGTAATTAAAAACATTTCCTGCTGCTTCTTAAACATTGCTTTATTAAGAGTCAATTTGGAGAGGTTAAAAAGCCACAGTAAAACCGTTCTCCTTTACATATTTTCTTGCTTTAGTTGTCAGAAAGCAAACTGACTGCAAAACAATGCCCATTAAGACTATGGTTTTAATTTCATCCACTTTTAAAGCACTATAAGGTTTTTGTTCCTCTTAGTAAAATACTGGCTTAAATTAAAGAAAAAACATTTATTTCTGCCATACCAACTGTTACAAAGGTCAGCGAGCAAAGCTAGGGGTGATACAATGCATTAAATGCAGCCTCATTCCTCTGCTCACCTCTGTTGCACCCACGGATACACAGCTAAATTCACTCCCTGCCTGCAGCAGGCTCTGGCACAACAACAGAGCTGGGTCCTGAAACACCAGTTTTAGTCATTTGAGCATAAGCCTATGGTTTTATTGTTAAGTTTAAAACGAGGCGGCATACATATGTATTATTGCTGGGACATGTTTTTAAACATTTATCAAAATTATTAGAGACGTAATTAATTAATCCCAATTGATCACATCTTTATCGAATAGCAATATTTGATGCAATAAACAAAGATTTTCTGTTTAAATTAATTTTGGTTCATGACTGAATCAATCAATGGACATATGTGTACTTAAGCAGTTACATCAAAAGTAGACTTACTTATGGGGTGCTGGGTGGCTCAGTTGGTAGAGCATGTGCAGAAGTGATAGTCCTTGATGCGGTTGTCCTGGGTTTGATTCCCAGTCTTGGGCATTTTGCTGCATGTCTTCCCCTTCTATCTCCTTTCTTGTCAAACTACCCTTCAATAAAGGCCACTAGTGCCAAAAATAAATCTTTAAAAAAATAAGTAGACTTACTTTTTTTGTGCCACAGTGATAAGAAAGCTCTTGTGCACACAAACATTTTATTCTTGTATGCATGTAATGGCATCTATCATTCTGGGATGGGTTACAAAGCCATTTCTCAGACTTTGAGACTCTAGTGACCCACAGCAAGGGATATTACCCACAAATACAGAAAGTATGGAACACTGTTGGACCTTCCTAGGAGTGGCCAGCCTACCAAAATAACTCCAAAATTGCACTGATGACTCCTCCAGGAAGATACAAAAAAAAAACTCTAAAGTTTGAGGTTAGTGCTCATTATTCAACAAGAACAAACTAAGTAGGCAAAATGACATGTATGAAAGATTTCCCGGGCCCAAACAACTGCTGGCCCAAAAGAACGCAATGACCTGTCACACAATTACCAATAAATAACTTCATAACCCCAAAACTTTTGGGAAAATATTCTGTGAAAATATTGGACCAAAAAAATTAAAAAGGTGTTTGTTGCATTTGGCATAAAACTCACAGCATTTTAGTTAAAGAACTTCATATCTACAGTCCAGACATGGTACCATACATGGTAATGGTGCTATAATGGTATATGGCTGCTTTGCTACTTCAGCAAATTAGGTAGCAAAGCTGCTATAATTGATGGAACCATGAATTCTGCTCTCTATCAGAAAACTCTGACGGACCATGCCTGACCATCATTGTGGGACCTTAAGCTCAAGCGCACTTGGGTTATGCAGCTAGACAATGATCCAACGCAAAAGCACACCAGCAGGGCCCACCTATCTGGCCCAAAAAATAAATAATAAAAACCAAAATGAAGGTTTTGGAGTGGCCTATTCATGGTCCAGAAATGTGATTGAGATGATGTGGTGGCAACTCACGCTTAAAAGTCCTCCAATGTGGCTGAATTAAAACAAGTCTGCAAAGAGGAGTGGACCAAATTTTCACCACAGAGACAATAAAGACTCATTACTAGATATCAAGAATGATAGATGGCATTTGCTGCCTTTAAGGGTGGCACTACCGATTATTAAGTTTAGGGGGGAAATTACTGCAACTGCATTTTGTATTTACTCAGGTAATCTTTGTTAAATTAACTGAAACACACTGTGATAAAAGAGCAAAACAGAAGAAATCTGTAAGGGAGTGAATACTTTTTCACAGTACTCTGCGTGAAAAGAAGAAATAAAAAATGAATAAAATGCAGCTCTTAAAGTCAGTTTTAGTAAATAGTCTTTATGCTCCTTTTAACATGACATTGTTTGACTGGGACCCTTTTCAGTATTTAGTGGACGATGAATGGTTAAATCCTCAGTTGGAGGATATAGGAGCTGAAAGGAGCCCATGAATCCTGAAGTCTCTGCAGACCCAGCATGGTAAAATAATTAGGCTTACCTTTGAAGAGAACTAAACAAACACAACAGCACTCAACACCAGCCATGTCCTCTGTCCTGACTTTCTTCTTCATCGATGCCTCAAAGTGGCCTTTCTTCTCTCTGTTTTCTCCCTTTGCTACCTGCCAAGCCAACCGAGTCACCCTCCCTCCCACATCTCTCATCCTTTCATCTTACTCTGGTCTTCGGGATTTTGAAGTCTCTCTCTGTCTGCTGATTCTCCTGGGGAGGTAAAAGAGTAAAGGTAAAAACTGAGGAAAAAGGTGAACAAAGTATTTCACAGATCTTTTTTTTACATCTGCCAAACTATGCTTTAACCTGCAAAAAGAATCAGCTCTGCAGAAATATTTAAAAAGAAATCCAACAATACATTCTTGGATGTTCATTAGACATTTTTATTATGTTAGACATTTTCTGGTGTTGTGAATTGTTAAAGAATATGAGGAATTAAGGCCATTCTGACATATTTTAGTCAGATAGAAAGAAACATGCTCTCTTTTCAAATACTAAAGCAAAACGTTAATAAGTAGGTCCAGCTACTTGAAATGCTTTTTTCTGCTTTTTATATAATGTATTTCATTTTATAGTTAATTGTGCATACCATTAGAGAAGGACCCAATACAGTTTATGCAGCGGCTAGGACAGATAGTTCGAGAAGGGAGTCAAGTCAATAGCCTGACCACCAAGGCGACTTTGTGAAATGTTTGTAAGCGTAAAGTTAAATAAGAAAGTTCTGCCTTTTACACCGTTTTTTACTTTTTGTGTCCTCTGTCAGTTAAAAATGTCTGCTGATACAGTTAAGTACAGTTGGAAAGGAGGCCTTCCAGCCTCAAAGGCCTGGAGCTCATCATCAAAGATAAATCATCAAAATGCCCCTGGAAACGAATATATCTGGTCAGCAATTATAAGAAGGCTTTTAATGCTGCGATGCCAATAAATGTTTTTCCACTAATCATTGATAATAATTTTTGACATGACATTTTTAATAACATGTAAATTAGAAACAGATCATTTATTACAAATGTTTAAACTGATGCTCATATTATATTGTTTTTATGATCCTTTGAGAGATGCCTTGTCTCTTTCCTACCAGAAACAAATTTCTTAGTTGAATGACAAGAAATTAAATCTAAATCTGATCATATTTATGAATAATTTTGGGCTTAACTGAATTTGTTTGTGTTTCTAATTTGTGTTAAATGAATAAATCCTTTAAGAATGGGGCTGTTTTAGTCTTCTTGACTTAAATCAATAAAATTTACAGACATTAAGATTACCTTTTTGTGTTAGAGGGATTTGATGGCATTTTGATGAATGGCACCTAAGAATAACCTAAGATGCCTGAAGGATAGGTTGAACCCAGGAGACAGAATCAAAATGGCTTAAAATAATTTAAACAAATCTTTTGTTAGGCAGTGAGGATAAAGTATAAATTAAGAAAGAAGAAGGAGAAGAAAGCTGAACTTCAACAGAGAAGGGAAAAAAAATGAGCAAAGCAGTATATGGAGGCATGATTCCCACAGGACCATTGAATTTCCTTTCTTTCTTCCCTGGCTTTTTTCATAGTCCTCTCACTCCCAGCTCCACACAGCTGTTTCAGGGCCAGGGGCTTCTTCCTCCAGAGCCCAGATGAAAGAGCCGCCTTAAGCAGCCCTACAGGTAGGTCTGGTAGAGCCATTGCTCTGGCTGTCCACTGCCTAACGCATGAAATAAAAAAGGCAGAGACACAGACAGAGAGGGGAGATTACACTAGAGTGAGAATGGAAAAGAAGATCATATGAAGACACAGAGTTTGAACAAAGTAGCAGATAGGGAACATCATGGCCACAAGGTGTGAATTTGAAAATGCAAAAATAGGTGAGGAAGTACCTCTTCTATGACCTCCCACCCCAACCCTCTGATACAAACAATGTCTGTTTTTATTGACTTTGTTAAACCATTTTCAATGCTACTTCATATGTGTTTACAAGACAGTAAATAACATTCAATTCCAGGCTGGCTTGCGGTGGGGGGTGGGGTGAGGGATTACATTCAGCCAAAAACATCCAAAATGCCTAAAATGCCTGCTCAGACTTAACTAATGACAACTTTGCACCTTTCTGTTTTACTGCATGCAACTGGTCTGTCTCACACATAGTTCTTTCCATGCAGATGTTGATGGAGAAGCCAGTGCAGGGCTCTTTGGTTTTCCAGCTAAATTACTTATGTTTTAAGTTCCTTAAGTCTGAGTGAACGATACAGTTGTTGCTGAAACACATAAAGCGGTGACAAAAACTGTAAATGAGCGTTTCTGTGCTCAACAACTGGTAAAGAACTTCAGCAGAACTTTCTTTAATGTCACTGGGAACACCGCGCTCAGAGTCGTTATGCAAACACATTTGGGTTATGGCAAAACTGCGTCCCTTAATCACTTCTACACACCAAGGTCATTCCCAGACAGTCGTTTAATCCAGTAAGAGTCTCATTCAAGTTCTCTGCTCAAACACGAATAGGCTGGATTTTCCAGCTTTTTCAACTGCTACAATTTTCTCAGGCTCCGGCACAGCGACACCACCCACACAGAGTTTTCGCTAACCACCAGTGTCTGGAGCGCTCCAGGTGATGTGTGACCCTTTCCACCTCTCCTTGCATTATATAACCTCACTTTAATGGTATAGCACGAAACAACTACTTTTCTGACTAAAATGTACTTAGAAGACAAAAATCAAAAGATAAATCATGATTTTGATCAAATCCAATACAGTCAGTCAGTCATTTTCTACCGCTTATTCTATAGTGGGTCGTGGGGAAGCTGGTGCCTATCTCCAGCAGTCTAAGGGCGGGAGGCAGAGTACACCCTGGACAGTTAATCCAATACAATTATTGTTAAAAGAGAGACAAGTTGGTATTTGATAAATATCAGGATAAACTATTTCTTTTTTCATGAAAACGTTATGGTGCTCAATATTAATGCTTAATATTCACACTTGGTAATTAACCAACAGCCTAATCGGCCGGTAATGACAGTCACCTGCATGCTTCTGGTGGAGATGATTATAGCAGAGCTTTACTAATGTGGGATTCATGGTGGCTCTGGTGGTTGGCAGTGCTTACACGCAGCAAGAAGTTCCTGTGTTCCAATCTCAACTGGGATCTTTCTGTGTGGAGTTCTCCCTGGGCTATCTTGGGTTCTCACTAGGTACTCTAATACCCTTTATCCACCAAATATCCACCAATGCGGTTTGGAGCCAATCCCAGTTCCTGAAAGTAATTTCGAACCATTGACGTGTGTTTCCACAGATGAAAAGAGGTTCCAGGGTGCAAAGTTCAGCTTGGGCAACGCAGAATATTTGGTTTATCTGTGCGAAACTTAAAGTCACCCATGGGCGAGTCGAAGCTGCAGACAATTATGGGCGGCGAAGACAAGAAACGTACCATACATTATGTATGTTTGCAAAAACACACTAAACACGCACTGTGTAACTACTCGTTTCTGTTACACCCGCAGATGCTGACCCAAAAGCAGACAGGCAGGCAAGAGC